AGGAGGACAGCCGATTCCGGTCAAATAAAGAGAGTATGACAACCCTGACTAGGTAACTGGTTTGTTTTTCGCGAATTGAATTCTTATATAAAGTCTTGGTGCGGGTTTCCGGAACTAGGAATGTTTCATCAAACCCTTCTGTGACCTGTTTTTGAGCGTTTGGGGTGAACCAGATTCTCTTAAGTCCGTGGTCTGTTGACCTAATACCGGAATCGAAATAATTGAATATATCTGTTCGTAGGTAGTAGCTAGTACGTACAGATACAAGTATAACGGACTCAGAACAAAAGTCCGAAGGCGAACAATTGTTTTCCAACGATTGATAACCGTGCCTATACAGATCATACAAGGGTTTGTTGTTAGTGGGGACATATTTTCACGCTGGGTCGAAAGGTCATTTGGGATGGGGGGACGGGGAGAGGTGGGGTAAGCCCTATTTATCTGTGTGTGTCTGGGTGAGATTGCCTGTGATCGGAGTGTTGGTGGTGGAGGTGATGCTGATGTTTAACATCGAGCAGCCCATAGCCAAATTTTCCATCCTAACCGGAACGCTACTTGCATAACCTTTCAGAAATGATAGTAAGTCCCATTCTCACCGAAGCCCTATCCCTCGGTGGGAAGTTTTGTTATCTTCATCGGAAGGTGAGCCAGTTGAAAGTTGCAGTCCAGTTCGAAAACCTCTTCTCACAAACACACAAGTTAGTACTTAACTCCTCGAATGAACCAGAGAGTTTCAAAGCCATATTGGTTTGCGGTTGCTATCAATACCGCAAGCACACCTAATACCCGAAGGCCACCAACACGAATACATCTGGAGGCACTTAAAGAGATTCAGCAACGTAAGGACATTACAATAAGCAGACCAGATAAAGGATCAAAAGTTGTTCTGATGAATAAATACGATTACATCAAAAAGATGTCCGAGCTACGATGGGCCTGAAGAGAAAGATAAAAAGGCGCATAGAGAGAAAAAAATCATGAATAGTCTCAAATCCTTAAAGGACCAAGGGTATGTAGACCAATCCGTGTTCGACGCAATAAAGCCATCTGGGTCAACCATTCCTCGCCCTTACGGGTTACCCGAGGTTCACAAGACTGGCATACCATTAAGACCAATTCTATCTATGGTCAACTCATCGCACCACCAGACTGCCAACTGGCGCGCAGGAATTTTCGAACCAGGGCGCACAAAGCTCGCAAAATACAGCTTACTTGACACATTTGAGTTTGTGAACATTATCAGCCAGCGGAACGTAAAGAATAATCAAATGTTTCCCCTGGATGTCGTCCTTATTCACGAACGTACCACTATTAGGAACCACCGATTTCCTCTGTCGCCACATTGAAACTGAACAAATACACATAGGAATACCAACGAAGAATCTGAAGGAGATACTACTGAGATGTACATACAATGTTCAATTTCTATTTGATGGAAAATTGTACCGTCGATAGACGGAGTGTCCATGGATTCCCCATTAGGCCCATTGTTAGCAAACATATTTATGGCCAAATTAGAAGGTAAAACGTTGAAGTGAGAAATAGAACAAATGAGTTTATACTGCCGCTACGTGGACGACATATTCTGTCCCACACCGAAAGGTAGGAACACGATAAGATTGCTCCAAAGATTCAACGAAGCTCACGAATCGATTCGGTTCACGTTGGAATCTGAAGAAGATGACAAAGTGGCCCTCCCTGATGTGGCACCGTAAACACTCCAATCACAGTCAATCTCACCCGAACACAGATACAGAAAATGAACATTGTATGTACATCTCAGTAGTATCTCCTTCAGATTCTTCGTTGGTATTCCTATGTGTATTTGTTCAGTTTCAATGTGGCGACAGAGGAAATCGGTGGTTCCTAATAGTGGTACGTTCGTGAATAAGGACGACATCCAGGGGAAACATTTGATTATTCTTTACGTTCCGCTGGCTGATAATGTTCACAAACTCAAATGTGTCAAGTAAGCTGTATTTTGCGAGCTTTGTGCGCCCTGGTTCGAAAATTCCTACGCTCCACTTGCCAACCAGCTGAAATCAATAAAAAACAATTATCCCACACCACTACTCACAAGTAATTGTGAGTCAAATGCTGAATGTCTCTTAGCTCGTCAGCTGAGAACCTGAAATCATGCAGTTATTTAATCTTAATTTTTATTATGTATTCATTGTGCTAGTGTATGCAGAGATTTGATGCCCCTTCTCAACTAGACGCGTTTCTTAAGCAACGCAATTCCATGACCGCTCTGTTTACATGATCCTAACCATAGACAAGCGATTTACGTAGGGTAAGTTTATTTTTTGCGGTGAATTTGGTCTGTCTTAGACCTTTGTTCAAGAAAATAAATGATTATTTGCCTTTTACTTTTCATCCTTCAACAGACATCCGATTGTTACACCTGGAATGAGAACTCCTGGGACTCCGATTGTGTCCAAACGACCATCCGGTCGCCTCGGAATATAACATTTTTGTTTTCCTAACTTCTGTTGATAACCCTAATGTAAATAAGTCTTTGATTATTTCCAATACAGTCATGTATCATATTTAGGGTACTTTTGTCATTGTTTTCCCGAATGTTGTTNTCTGTACGTACTAGCTACTACCTACGAACAGATATATTCAATTATTTCGATTCCGGTATTAGGTCAACAGACCACGGACTTAAGAGAATCTGGTTCACCCCAAACGCTCAAAAACAGGTCACAGAAGGGTTTGATGAAACATTCCTAGTTCCGGAAACCCGCACCAAGACTTTATATAAGAATTCAATTCGCGAAAAACAAACCAGTTACCTAGTCAGGGTTGTCATACTCTCTTTATTTGACCGGAATCGGCTGTCCTCCTCCAGTCGCTAACTGCCTCAGCGGACAACGCGCACCGTGGCAATCTATTTGGTAACACGTGTTACACATGTCCCAACAAGCTTAGTCTATGAAGATCGACCAATTGCATCAGTTGGCGATAAATCTGTTCAGAATCACATGTAATCGAAGAGGCCTTGGCAGACTGAATATCGATCAAAATACAGGAAAACTTAAGACAGCCTTGTATCAAAAGTTTGGACAATCCGTTCACAAGAGGCACCGCATAATGAGTACAGGGGTAACAGTCAGCCAGATGTTTTCAACAAAACGCAACAAGACAGGAGAAATTTAAAATATAAAGATGGTCAAAAGAAAGGAGGGCTTGTTGTCTCTCGTTTGAAGGTTAGGTTGCACTAGACACTCAAATAAAATACGTGAATGGAGTGATGAAAGTTACATTTGACTCCGTGCACATATATTTCTCTCTAGAACGTTCTTTACCAGGGTGACAAATTATTAAAAACAAACCGTTTGAGCGTGATTTGAATATGATTTGCAGACTTCAAACAATGGAACTTGAGCCTGCTGAAACTCTTCACCAGGAATAGCTACGTATTCGCAGTCGGTAATCAAGATAAACGAAACTAAAGTTAAATGAAAAACAACTCACAGGCGACTAGAGCTCATTGAAGCAGTCAATTCCTCTCTTCGGCGAGTCAACTGCTCCTCGGCAATATGCATCTCTCGTTCCATATCTGCCAGCTGCTCCTCTGCTTGCCTTTTACGTTCAAGACGAGTTAGATTGGGGTCTTTGACGCTGAAACGTGCATAAGAAGTAATCATAGTGACTTCTGCACCAGTGGCACTCTCAAGAAGACCATCCCTTTTTATTAGTGATTTTGAAACGGCAGATTGCACAACTATAGATTTATACAACAAAGATGAGATGAAAGTTGATACAAATAACTAAAGTAAGGGGAAAATCTATCTAGTGAAGGAACCAAATCATCTTTATCAATGAAAAGTGAGGAGTAATTTTAAAGGGAATACCACATATGAACATGAGTATTATGTACATCACACATCGCATAATAATAATAACGCAAATAATATGTGCACCGAAATGGTTTCAACGTGACATCAGTGTAAATGAAGATAGGGGCACTTAATGCAAACTGAATAACAGTCTACGAAACCCTCGGGATGGTCGGGGTGGGTGTTTCGGGTTGTGGTTGGTCACCCTTCCATTACACCGCGCGAAATGCTCTTATATGACCAGGCGTCTTAAACAGCCTCTGCTGAGGAAGTCCTGCTGACTGACTTCTCGTAGGGCAGGTATTTTCTCACTAAAGTGAGAGAACGAAAAGCCAATATACGGGCTATAACCGAGTTGGTGAAGCACTGTTAGTTGACTTATGGGAGTTGACTAAAAAACCTGATTCTAAACCAACCAAGAAGAGGCGTACGAACCGCAAACACGCACCTGGTTGTGGCAATGATCACCAGCTCGATTGGGCACTTCGAACGTTTTACCCCGTCACAAGGGTCTATGATCAGATGAACTGGACGCTGGCCCTCAGTAGAATGCGGAATCTGAGCCCCGTCCTGCTATCTTGAAGGTATGGCTTTCTAGAGAAAGGCTTGAGGTGGGGACCCCGATGTTATCCACCTTCCTCGGTCAGGGCAGCCGAGAAGTAGCATGCACATACAACCTATGAACACATTCTACCGATTTTTTCTCCGTAAGTTGTGGAACATTTGCTAGTTTTATGTAACTGGTTACATGTTGAATAAATAAAACAAACAATTACTAATGAAGTGGACAAACGACTTCGGTTAACCAGTTTTGAAAATCATATATCATGAACTTCAAGAGTATTTTTCTTTTGTTCTTCTCAAAAAGAAATAGAAATGTTGACACCATAAGTGTGCATTTTGGTTGCATAATGATCGTGAATGTTAATAAGAATCTCTTCCAATTTAAGCAATACGAGAACGACGCACACGTTTTTCAGTACGGTTCCTTCCACTTACAGTCAACAAACCAAAACGGTTAGTATCTGTTAAAATGGGGTTTTAAACCCACCATGTACCTCCCAAATTGACGTGATAAAGCTAACTACCATCGTGAGGGAAACCATTAAAACTTATCCTTATCCGGGAAACGACATGTTAGTACACTTACCTGTAAAACATGGGGCCAACGCGAGCCAACCAGTTCCCGTCCACCGAGGTCACACATTGCATATACTCCTTTGTTGTCATGACCAATTCATGATAAACTACGTAGTCAGGTGTGTAACCCATACCGTACAATGCGCTAGTCGGGTGTAAATGACAGGGCATACCAGTACGTAAGTTGACGTATTCACCCAGACCCTGTGTAAGATAAGTGAACCAGAAAAAAGAATTAGGGTGATTAGAGCTTGGGAAACTTGGGTTAAAACATAAAATCCATAAACAAGTGATAAATGCCTATGTCTGTGTAAACAACAGATAGACTGAGAAAACCGTCAAAATCATTTGTTAAGTAATCATTCTTTAAGTTTGGCTGAACGAATGTTATCCGCGAAAATACATAATTTGAAAAACTCATACCTTCAAGTTGATTAACTGCATACTGTAGTTTATCGTGATTAACACCCGTGAGGGAATTCCAGTAAAAACGAAGTTGAAAAACTTTCACAAGTGAATAACAACTAACACCGTAAGAGCTTTGCCGATCGAATTCGTCGAGACTTTTCCATAAACATACTTGATCTTACCTTTCCTCATTGAATTTGATTAAAAGAAGTGAGCTACTGAAGAAAAACAATTCTCGTGAACTCCCTTTTCGTTTACTTATTCCCGTATAGAATCCCGTGATCTACTGTTCATTTACGGTTTAGATTCGTTTCGTAAATATTTATAAATACGACTGAGAACAAGCGGTTTCGCGGAATCCGTCCGATTTGACTACTGTCGAAGAAACAACCGGGAAATTCATTTCCCCTTCTTAGGGGTGTAAAATTGTCCAACACCTTAGCTAAAAACATAACTGATGAATGTTGATCGAAACGTCAAGAAATGATGCAATATATATATTTTTTTATGGTCATTTTATCCCTGCTATTGAATTTATTTTGGTGAATTTGTTTCGATATTAGTAGTTGCACGAATTCAGCACCATTTACCTTGATGCGAGCTGCTTGGTGGAAGAACGTACAGCACAGGCATTCACGAACAACATCCCAATCACTTCCGATGGACCGCAGGTTCATATTGTGTTGCTCCATAATTTCCTTCATCTGTTGTCGAACCTCACGCACTTTTCGCATCGCCTTGAGGTGTAAGAAATGTCGTGCACAGAAACCGGAAGAATAGCCTGATTTTCGCCACTGCGTGTAGACATTTAACAGCGTGAGNCGTGAGATGATCCGATTCGGGAACTTGAAACTTCTCACGGGCATTATCAGATTCTTCTTCCCGGCCTTTAGGACGATAGAAAACAGTGGGTACGGATAACATAGACACAATGGTTAGAATTTCCTCGGAGCAGTCCATGTCACACGAAATAATCAACAGCTTTGACAGAGCCGGGTCCAGTGGGAACTCAACCATCTGCCGTCCGAGGTTTGTAAGACTTCCAGTGTTATCCAAAGCGCCGAAAATCCACAGCTGATACATTGAATTGAGTATGTTGTCCTGGGGGTACAACGGAAAACCAACACGTGTATTAGCTTTGCGACTGAAGAAAACACTAGTGTAAATGTGTAGGCGAAAACGCAGTATAGGAGTTAGGGTTAGGGTATAACTACAAAGAAGGAAGTATGAAACCATCACCAGCGGCTGTTGGCAATTGAAAATGGTTCAAACAGCCAAACAGTAAATTTCAGCATCTCGGTCTTTTAAAAAATTTCTTCTAAACCGGACTTGAACAGCACCCGATCTACACTGAATTAGGCGTCTCTCTTCGACTATAATTGAATACTATCAAGCCTTTCCGCTGGCCAGTTTGAAGGTGCGTGCATGCTGTAGGCTTATGTACAGTAACAGTGGAAGACGGATCACCGGATTAATTCCGCAAGGTCTCCATTAATCACCTGCCGGACGCCTACGGAAAACTCGACTGGCATTTGCCATCCGACGCCGCGAAATACAATTGTCTGTAAGGGGTCAAGAGTAGGCTACAGCAGTTCGACCAGTTCTGCTTTATGGTGCACAGACTTGGTCTTTATGGGGACAGCATCAACTTGGTCTTCGGATGGTGCAGGAAACTCGCCAAAGGAAAATCAATTGGAATAACATCCGCAAAGACCTTGTTGCCAATCGCCTGGTATAGGAAGNACAACCAAACACATTTACGACGTGGCCTATCTTGTCCATGGAGCCAGCAAAAGTGAAATAAAGTTGGCAACACTCAATAATCAGATCGATTGTTGTGACTCCAATACTCATTACCGTCGCTCCAGTATTGGTTAACCTAGATTCATTCGGTTGTCTAAAGCAAATCTCCCCAATGTTTGCGTTATGATCCGAGTTTATATGCATACGGGTATTTATCAAATTGTGCTCGAATACAAACTTGGTTCGAATAACTGGACAATATCGAGCGATCATGTGTAACTTTTAACTAGAACGGTCAAACTGAGAATTCTACTTGGGCCTCTTAGAAAAGTGATCATTTTGGTGTTCGGGCGATAAAGACGAATCGATAGATGCGACTAACCAACGCAACTCAGTTTAACGGAGCAAATTCTGTTGTTGAGTCAACTGCTTCTAATTTCGGAAGGGATTTTCTTCCAGGAAGATCTCTTGTCATCGCCGACCGTGTTGAACCGAGCGAGCCACGAAACCCCAACTTCACACCTTCCCAGCCTGCTTCAACTATGCACGCTGCCGTTGCTTTAGTTAACCCCCCGCAATTTTCGGTTTGCAATATAACAACAGTTTCGTAATATACTAGAACGTAACAGGATAGATGTGANTGTGATTGGGATGCTCGTTTCTAAGAAGTTTCAGCGTTTATAAATTTAAATTTATGGAAACGATTGTTCTAGTTCAAGATGTACAAGCACTCACCTGTGGAGGAGCGTCCATGAAATGAAAACGCATCAAATCTTGAACGCCCAATGATTTCAGTAAAAGCACAACATTGGCCAAGTTGGTACGCTGAATTTCCGGTACCGCGGTAATCAACATTTCCTCTTGAAATTGACTTATTGTGTATAGACGATAGCAAACACTGGAATAGAATAAATATATAATTGAAATTATACACAGGCTCAATGCAAAGTGTGAAAACTCAGAAGAAAGGTTGATGGAGAACACAGACAAACAGATGAGGTTAACAAGAGTAATACGTTTTAATGGCATTGGATATTCGTTGAGGTAAAAAAATAGCTCAGTTTCGTAGGTTCCCAAAGACATTATGAGCCCATTTGGATACGGCATCTCGTTTGAAAAGAAGTTGGATGAACGGTGCTTTGTTCACTGCCTGGCGGAAAATGGTTATCCAGAGGAGTTTATTACTCGTATTCGGACTGCAAGATATAGAATTCCTCCCCTATTGTTTCACGAAATCAGGTCTCTATCTTCTTTGATCCTTCCCTTCTCAGTCAACACGTATTTTTGCCGATTGTGAGGCATTTCATGGTCCTATTATCGTAAGATGTGCTGTGTGATACTGCAGATATTTCACGAAGCGATGCTGATCACGATATATATATATATATATATATATATATTACTCATTTCGTCAGTAGCGAGCATCTAACCACCGCTCATCCGTCTTGCAACCCCATGATTACTTTATTAAGTTTTACGATGACTTGCAATATTTCCCTGTAACTGAAATACACAATGATGATGTGTAAAACATGCAGTGATAGCAACGAAATAAAAAAGCATCGCCACGATACTTGCCACTATGTTAGTTCCATACCTTGCTCACAAGCAGCAATGAGAGTGAACAATAAACATGAAAAGAGATTAACACAGATAGCGGATAGCTTACCCAGGACCGGTACGACCTGCACGACCAGCACGTTGATTAGCGTTCGCCTGACTAATGGGGAATATCTGCAAAGCGTCCATACCAATCTTTGGATTGAACACCTTCAGTTTACAATAGCCCGAATCGATCACGTAGCGGATTCCATCAACTGAGTTGCACAAGGTGAAAGTAAAAAGTACAAGAAAACGTTGAGCTCTGGGATAAATAAAAAAAGAAGTGAAATATTGTATTATTACATCAGATCAAAGGAGGAAGTATGTCACATTGTGGTGTTTGTAAAATGCTTGTGTTGACCTTCACTATCAATATTGACAGTTCTTACTACTTATCATGAGGCAAAACGATATTCGTTTTATGGAATCATTTTCATCACGATGAAATTGAATTCCAAAGAGGTGCCACGGCCTGCATTCTTCTCTGGTCCAGCAAGTTATACAGCACAACGTGGGTTCAACGATAGAGGCTAGAAGAAGAGCCGTTTCATGAGATCAAATGCTGACATGACCGTTGAACTATTCTTAGATAAGTAGGATACGAATCAGTATAATCGATGGATAGAGACAATGAGTCATAAAAAATGGTGCTCATGAAACTACTCGTTTTCTTTACAACAGTCAACCCGAATTCTCAATCTGTGTTGGAACAGTTTCCGGCATTCTAACTCTTCTCTCTACTCCTTCATCCAAATAGGCGACAAAAGACGGGAATCATAAGAGCCACAATAACGTGCAAGATTGATGGTTGTGTAGACTGAAATGGAAATCAAATCAACGGATTAGACGTAAGAAGTGAAACATGAACTCGGAAGAAACGAATTGGTTTTTCCATTGCACTTGAATCCCGAAATCGCATTTTAGACAGGGCTTCAAGTTCTGTTTTGTCCTTCTTGGTAGTGTTCAACGGAAGGTAATTCGGTTAACCAGTGATCCTTCCTCAACTTCCCATATGCAGTCATTACCATGACGTTGGTCAGCTATTTCGCTGTACTTTCTCTACCGTGATTATGTTTTATTTATTCCAGCGAATCTCTGACGTCCTAATTGTTCACCGAAAACAAAAATCCACACCGATCGTATGTACACTTTCATCTGAAGTAGTATAGATATATGAGGCCGATGAGTAAAGGCATACATCGGTTGGGAGAAAAGAACAGTAGAAACGGGGCCCGTTTCACATACCGGTGAGTGATGTTTCCGCGATGTTTGTGGCCACGACACACTTTCGAATACCGTTTTCGGCCTTGACAAAGATTTTCGCTTGCAAGTCGCTTGGGAGCTGAGAATAAATAGGGAGTATAGACAACGGGGGTGCCTCATCCAGATTTCCTAGTCGTTCTGTGAATGGCCAAGGAGAAAGATAGCGAAGTTAGTGTGCCGTATATATATAAATTTACATTGCAATTTCCAATTCACCTTCAAATCCTTGATTCCAACTCTACTTTAGGTATTTCAAGTTATCATCAAACTTGGACCAGGATTTAAAATCACTTTCTGTTGCTTCCAAAAAGAGGAAAAAAATGATTGTAACACGATTATTTATCTCCACAAATAAAAAGGCGAGTTTTCTAATTAAGTAATTCAAAATCAGACGATTATTCTGTTGACATTACTTCACGACTCTTCATGGTTCTCGCATCCGTGCTGACTTTTCGCTATTGGACTGGGATCGCAGAAGTGTAAGTCATCACGCCAACTGATCCCAGTGCTACCAGCACGTGTATGCTTAACAAAATCTGTTTACCCAGAAATGGTCTAGCCACATAAGAATCATATTGTGTTACAGTATTCGGACATCGCCGCTAGACACTAACAAATCCGCTGCTTGATGAATATTCAGAACACCAAAGATAGAATAGTTACCTGGATGCCGCAACTTTAGCGTCTAACCCCAGTCCCAATTTTCGTCAATTTTCATTATCGTTCTCGTATGCAGGATAAATCGGGTAACTGCGTAACTGCGCCGCTAGAAAAGCATACAATCATTAGTTTGTTTGCACTTAAAGCTCCACGTCGTCCACTAGCACATCGTCATTCACTTAGTTCCGCCATCAAGGTAACCGATTATTTGGGGAAAACAAGACACAAATCACTTTTATGCACTGACCGTTGAAGATGCAACGACTATTATTGTTATTGGCATCTCCTTCATTCTGGTGAAGAACTATGCAATAAAACTAGAACCCACTCTTCGTAGACCATTAACCCACTCCGAAATTTGTCAACTTCTTGCGCATATATTACAATATTCAGCAATGATTCCTTTTAGGAGTAACCTATCGCTTTCAACCTCACGAAAACCATTAAAACGACTAACGTTTCGGGATGGAATACCACTGATTTACGAGTTACCATTGATATGGAATTACCATTTATTCCATCTAGTTATTAGCAGGAACCTTATTAGGCGATATATGCATCATGCTTCAGAAAAGACGCAAGTGTCGTAAGATTTGCGTATCGCCGCACCGGAGTTTTTCACACAATGTAGTGAGTCACAAAATATTGTCGTAAACCATACACTTATGCACACCGAGGGCTGTTAATTGACGGCATCGACGAGTTTCTATCACAATGAGAAATGTCCATCAGCGCTCTACATTCGATACTGGCCTACAGGGTCTACAGGAATCAGTGCTTAGCCCACACTTTTGTTGATCTATATAAATGACCAGCCAGATGCTCTAGAACTATCAACAATAGTGGTTGTAGATAGTATGAAATCAGGATTACAGTAACAATTTGAGGAAAATTCTGGGAACATAGAAGACAGCTAATCGAACGCCACTAAGGACATTGAAATCAAGGCGCCAGAATGTTGGGTTATTTAGCTAAACCACAAAGGCCGGTATCTACACCTTATAGAATATCAACAACAGTCGTGTGCAGGAAACGTGAAGGATTTTTGCTTGATAGTTCTAAAAGGAACTAAGCTCTTCGATCACCTACAAGGTAGGATACTTCAGCTGAGCTTGGCTTTGACAGGTTCAAAGCAAGGCTGCTGCTCCGACTGTCTTCAAAACAATCAAACACACACAGCTGAACACAAATTAAGTTGACTGTTTAGACCTGTGGTCCACAACGGCAATGCACTTGCCAAGTTTCCGAACGTCCATAAAAGACAACAACCAACGTATTCTGGAGAACAAATTCCAACATTCTACGTGAAGATTGCAACCATTAAGAGCGGAAACCTAACCGCTGATCCATGATATCACATCACGATAAAAATCGCACCACGGTGGTCTGTGCAAATTTGTGAACCAACAATCTATACAGAACGAATTTAAACAACCTAAGAGATTTTATTATGCCTGAAAAGTCTGCAAGTAGATGACAAACAAAGTTTCGTCGTACGGTCCCCTAGAGTGAACCTTTGACTCCAATTGGTGCATCAGTCGCTGAAATGGGCCTGCACCTTATTTTCCCCTCTGACTTGTCATTAAGTTCTTGTCAGAACTAAATGCTTTGGTTGGGAACCCTAATAGTTCTCCGGTTTAGCAGTCGGACACCGTAGCAGTACCCATCTATCAAACTCCAAGGCGTACACAAAACAAACAATTCCATACTGCGCGCAGGATATTCAGGACCGAGCTGCTCTTTGCATCGAGTGGTAGGGCTCGCGGTAATTGGGCTACTTCTCAAATATCCCAATCTTTGTTTTCTACACACAACCCTCTCCCTTTACCCTATCGACCCGTAAGCCGCCAAGGCTTGTTGTTAAATGGCGCGGTACCTTCGGGTTAAGCAGAGTTGAATGCTACCAGGCGCGTCCTCGGGTTGTGGATAGGGGGATACCTTCACCGGTTAGGTTAGCTGTGTATAAGTTGTGGCATAAGACAACAAATAAGTAGTCGCGAACAAACTGCGGCGGCACTACCAGGGGGTGGTGGTTTTCAGGCTGGTCACCTGGCTCCCGTTTAAAAGCCGCATAAGCCCGATGACTGTGTCGTGACAAAGAGCGATGTGACTGGCCTTTTAAAACTAAAGTCATTGACCCCCCCCCCCACCTCACTTCCCAGGCGAGAGATTACCGGCTGCTGCCGTGTAGTTCGTACTTGGTTGTGCCCTCAAAATAAACGACGCCGAGTGACGCTGGAGACGTCTCTCGTACCAAACTCCCAAGGAACTTCATGATCTTGATTATGATCATATCTGGAGCCGGCTTATCTTTTCCAAGGAGCCAGCTGCAGTGAACTAAAACTAAAAACGTTAAGTAATTTACCGTCAAATAAATAGCAGATTCTGGAGCGTCTTCAACCTCTGAATATGGGGAACTTCAAAGTGGGGGCTCAGACCAGGTAACTGGGTGGTCGGCGATATCAGAAGACATCAGTGGCGTTCTTGTCATCACTTTCTCATCAGGCCAGAATAATTGAAAAGATGTACAGTCAGAATATCTGTCCTTTGTTGATCATAAACGGTGCTTTCGCCCCATCCCTCTCTCTCAAAATAGGTTTAGCTCTTGCCCATCTTACGCATTCTCATTTACATTGCACGGGTTGTGCCCTTGGCAGCGATCATTGAAGATCACTGCACTGTATTTCGGTGCACGATGCTGATGATGAACCATTAACTTCCGCTACTTGATAACGTCCTGCTCGGGGAAGTCTATTTAAGTGAAAAGTCTAACAATGTCGACTGGAAAACCTGCATTATCGATCTGTTATTAGAGCGCGCATAAATGTCTTACGTTGTCTGTCAGTTCACTGTTGTTTAGTTTAAGCTAAGAGCTCAGAAAACAGTGGAATATTGCATATTTAAACATCTAAAAGGCTATATAAAGTAGTCACAAGTGGGTTATCCATGTATGAATGTATTCGGATAATTACCTGGTTTATCTGAGAGGGAAAAGCTATCGCTGAGACAAAAACAGTTCCAGGCTGTAAATACTTCCGACAATAAAACACTAATATCGAAATGGGCATTTTTCTAAGAAACTGAGAAAAAATTTGATCGAATTGTTCAATTTGATCTCAGACAAGTTTGCTAGAGAATCGCTAATTGAACGTGAATTCATTTGCGTACGATTTCGTTTATTCGACGAAGCACATCGACGAATGACAAAAACATCTGTTTCAATGTGCTTTCAATGTGTTTCCAATGTGCCTCAATTTTGGGCTTTGTGCGAATCCAACAATTTGATTGTGGTTGAAATGAACATATACACATCTATATGATCATTTTTTATTACAGTGAAGGCTGAAAATTGAAGGCTTAAGGCAAGAAGACAAATAAACCTAAAGGAAGCAGTGGGGGGGGCGGCGGTCAAGTGGCACTCACCTGCGATCAATTCACAAGTAACTTCAATATCTTCTTGGCCGGGCATAAATATCAAGATATCACCTGTAAAGAGAGATCACAAGAAGTTAGAGAAGAGAAAACAAACAGAAGCTACCATCAGGAGGAGAGCCAAGGTGTACTTGAATAGCTTGCTTCACTGCAGCATCCACATAGTCCATCACTGTGGTTTTGCTGAACTGAATGTCTACCGGGAATGTACGACCGGGAATCCGAAAGATGGGACAATCCCCGAAAAATTGAGCAAACCGTTCGGCATCCATGGTGGCTGATGTGATTAGTAAGCGGAGATCGTTCCTTCGACTGACGACCTAAACCAGAGAACAATGAATTCAAAATTGAAATACTTTGGAGGAGGACATTGAAAAAAAACAAAGGCTCAAATGTATCCGAACCATTATTATTTCACATTTTAAGCAAGAACCTCCAGCCAATGCATGAGGCAGTGAGAAAAATGCATGTCTACTGGAAGAGACGGATAAGGATAGACCGGGACGGAATTCATGACGATACGTTTCGAACTGATCACTTTGTTGCATGAATGGAGTCAAATCAATCGGTGGCAATTATGAGCACCCTATGATAAGGACGACAAAACTTTATGATGAACTGTTTGGACGTATGAGCTTTTGTGAAAACGACAAGGTATGTGGTAGATGTATAGGTATATATTCGTCACAATAACCTCATTTGCAAAACCGGGAAACTAGGGATGAACAGCTTTCCCGGAGCTAGTCTATCGAAGAATAAAGACCACGATTCGATGTGTTGTAAGTGGTTTCCATCGGTTTTTGTGGTTCTTGTCGCTCATCAGGCATGCTGATCCGGTATTATTTTGTCGTGCGCTTCCACGGAACTTTTGAGGAGTCATTCATAAACCACTTATTATGAAATATATATATGTGATAGGCAATGAAATGCGTCTTCGCATAGAAGGCATATATTTCGAGCAACTATCCAATCTATGCTTCAAGTTAAGTCAAGAAGCGGCTTTAATTCACCCCATGGTTATGAAATATGGTCTTCACGGTTAGACGATAACCCGAAATCGATTATATACGCTGTCGGTGCAATATCTTAAAACCACGTTAGCAAAGCCGGTTTCCAAAAGCGTGATCAGACAACGCTGTTTTGGGGTGGAGAAATAAACAACAATTCCCCAGTACCATCACATGACCGGACGAACTGAGGAGCGTGGATGAATATGAAGTTGGAAGAATGGTCAATAAAAAAAACAGTGCGGTATGCCTTGGTCATACCAACAGTATCTCTGGTCTTTTGGACGTGCACCTAATTTTTTCACACTCTGCATTTCGATTTGGTAATTTCATTCTATACTTTATTTTACGACCGGATAGATAAATAAAGGACATTACTAACGACGAGCGCACGTTTGACCGTTTTGAGCTATACTAAGAATCAATGAAATGTTACCCTCGAAAAAAGTACCAGATTGCATCATCAATCTTTAGTCTTTTTATATCGATACAGTTCAAAATACGTGAATTTTTCAGAACGCGATAATAATATACTCATATTGAAGATGCCTTTAATCACCTTGATACGACAAAGGTCACAGCCATGTTGAGTACCGAAGCTCTGAAGGGTGGTGCTGATACTACGGCAGTTTCAGTTTCAGTTTTTACAACCATTAGCCATGCACTTTCGTGCGTCGGTTTTGGTTGCTGTCTTTGGTTGCCCATTTGGATAAAATAGCGAAATGAAGTTTGGAATGTCGAAACAAATTCAAGCGGAAGATG